GTAAAATGAAAATAAGAAGAAGAACTGAAATCTAAGTGTGTTAATTGAATACTAGTATAAAGCTATGTATTAAGAAGAAGATCAAGAAAAAGAAAAATTTTGCATACGAAATATTTTTTAATAGTGATCAATTGTTTCTGTATGAATAAATATTAGATGAACAAATAAATAAAAATGTAAATTATTAGTTGATATACTTTATTGGTTTGTTTTTTTTTAAAGCTTACTTATTTCATCGAAATTTTCTGAAATTATAAAACAATGAATGATACGATTGAAAAAGAAAACGACAACTTAAGTGTTTTATTTTTTTTATTTACCAGTTTTTTGTGTTGATCGATCCATAGTTGGAGTTGATTTAGTACTTGATATTGTTGTATCATCATTATTTGAATTCATAGATGATGTAGGTTCAATATACCATTTCGATTCACCAAGACGTGTATTAGTTTTTGGATATTTTCGTTTTATTGTTGTTGTTGATGATGATGATGTCCATTGTTTAGGTTTACGCCAACGTGAATGTTGTAGTTTTGTTGCTGGTATTTTATCTTGACTAGTTGATGAAGAACGTGACGTTTTTCCAATTGTTTCATCATCGAATTCATCAGATAAAACTGGAACATGAACTAAAAAATAAAAATTTATATATATATATATGTTTTGTATTTGTTTTTTATTTCTGTTTGTCAAAGTTTAATTCTATCATTTGCTGAAATATATTACATGCAAAATAAATAAATATATATATTATTAAAAATGTTAATAAAAGAATTAAAATGAGCAGAATAAATAAAAGAAGCATATGATTTATAATTAAATCTAAATTTTATATATAATATGAGCTTGAAGTATAATTATATATAAAGCATATGAAGATTATTCTCTCTAAATATCTTAATATATAAAAAGAAAAAAAAAACAAACTTATAGAATAGCGCGAAAGATTATTATTTGTTATTAATATAAAATATACCTATATTATGATATTGTTTATCATCAATGTAAGAAAAATATCTTGCTATATATTTTGTTTTCTTACCATCATTGCTTATTAAAGGTTCTTTATCATCAATTACATTTATAATAAGATCTCCACTTGCTAGAAATATAGAATTTATCTATATATATATATATGTTATTCTTTTAACCAAATTATTATAAAAGTTTGTTTTAAGAATAAGAAAATTCGAAATTTTAATTCAATTGAAATACATACAAGTTAATGTTCGAAGTCGATTTAAATTAGGTGTTGTTGGTGTACTTTGACTTGTATATACATTATGTGTTGTAGATTGATTATTTGATAAATCTGAATGTATTTGTGTCGATATTGAATTTGATGGAAGTATATTATTTGTTGAACATGATATTTGTATTGGAGAAGTTGTATTAGGATTAGTTGATGATGATGATGATGATGAATCATAATCAATTGCTGGATGATGATGTAAATTTTGTTCACGACAAATTGACATTAAATGACGAAAATCTAAATAAATTATTATTAAAGAATTTTTTTTTATTATTAAAATTAAAAACAAACTTGTTGGACCACTAATTAAATTTGAAGCTGTAGTTGATGAAAGTGTAGCTGAACCATTAAGTGCTGCATGTAATAATGAACGACCAAAATGTCCTGAACGTTTTTGTACTTTAGGTGTTTGTTGATGAAGACGTTCTTGATTATTAGTTGACATTAATAATTTTAATTCACGTTCAATAATATGCATTTCACGTTCATGTAATTCTTGTTCCCATTGTTGTAATCTCATACGTTGATGATTTTGTTGAATTGTTAATTGAAGCATAGCTTGTTCACGATCACGAATTTCCTTCAAAAATGAAAAAAAAAAAAGATTAAAAATAAATATTTTGATTAATATAAGAATAAAAAATTTCAAACTGAATTCATTCTTTATAATTTTTACTTGTTCTTTAGTTTTTAATTCTTCAAATATATCTTGAATTTCTTTACGCCAATCTTGTTGTAATGATGAATATGTTTCATCATTTGTTTCCATATAACTTAAATCATTATTTGTATAATTTATTTCAATAATTTTATTGATTTGTTCATATAATTCACTGAATGTTGGTCGATCTTTTGGAAGAAGTTGCCAACAATCTTAAAAATTTATTTTTATAGAAAAACAAAAAAAAAAAGTCTATATATTATTAATAATAAAGAAAACCTTTCATTAATTGTGAAAATTCTTCTGGACATGTACTTGGTATAGGTAATGAATATTTATTTGTAGCTATACCAAAAGCAACTTGCATTTGATCAAAACCTTTATAAGGAATTTCACCTGTTAAACATTCCCATAGAAGAACACCAAAGCTAAAAAAAAGAACCCAAAATCAAACGATTTCAAGACAAAAAAATAAAAATAAACCTTTAAAAATGTAGTTTCTTGTTCCATTTGAGGAAATAATCAAATTTTTTCGTATAATTATGTTAATATAAAATACAATTTGTATTTTTATTTATTCATGTACTTCTAATAGTAAGATATGTATTCTTTTCACCTACATCCAGTCGGTAGATTGATAAGGTTGCGAGTATCAGAGTACAAAGTACAAATTCTCGTATTCTAAATTCTATGAACTCGTACATGAGGTTACGCGAGTACATCAAAGGATCTGATATCAATGTTTGATTAATATATAAATATTATTGAAACATGTTATGAATGAAATCGAATGAACGACTTCAATCAAAAGAACTTCTAAAGATATAGCTATAATATTTGAATCACAGTACATAGGGAAAACACTTAAGTAAATTTTAGTTGTTTTTCAAAGATAATCGATCGCTTATTGATTTCTGTATTTCGGACAAGAAAAGGAATAGTCGATTTCGAGTAATCTTTGCATGAGATCACATCTTTTACGAGCTATTTATATCCCTTATAAACAATTTAAAGTTTTTCATTTATAAAAATTGATGTTTTACTATATTGACATGGTAATAGTAATTGCATCATTATAAGATAAGACAAAAGGTCAATACGTTCAAAAAACAACAAAAACTTTGATTATTACCTCCAAACATCAGATTTTGTTGAAAATTCATTATTACGAATACATTCCGGACTCATCCAAGGAAATGTTCCAGCAGCTGACATACTTGATGATTGTAATTGTTTTCTTGCAAGACCAAAATCTGTAATTTTTAATGTTTTATATAAAAGTTCACTTTCATTATGAATATTTTCGATTGCTTCTAAAATAAGAACTAAAACAAAAACAAACAATTGAATATTGTGTTTTGTTTTTTTGTTTTTCATTTAAACTAACTATTTGAACATTTTAAATCTCGATGAATAATATGTTCAACTGCTTCTTCATGTAAATATTTCATTCCATCAACTATTTGTTTAGCATATTGAATAAATACATTTGGATATAGACCAGATTTTCTTCGTTGTAAAAGATAATTTAATGCACCACCATGTGCATATTCCATAACAAGATAAAGATTTCTTGTTGATATTGATGGACTAACACCAAATAATTGTATAATATTTCGATGTCGAAGATTAGAAAAAAGACATGCTTCATGTAAAAGACCATCAATAAGATTTTTTTTTACAGCATCAGATGATTCATCATCATGAGATTTACTTGCTGTTGATATTTCAATTGAACTAAATGCTGTTAAAGATTTAGCAGTTTTTATTGCTACATCAATATCACCAAATTTTCCATAATGAACATGACTAAAATAGCAAAAACAAAAAAAAAATTTAATTTCTATACGAATAGATTTTATAGAACATAAAACATAATACTTTTTAAATACTATATATACACATTATAGATGAAATCTCTTAGCATAATGTTCGATATTTTTTCAGGTATTTAAAAAGATAATGAAATTTTTGAGGACATTATCTATTTTTAACGTGTTCTTATAAAATTTTTTAGTACTTCTACATTCAATCTAGTTTATAACATAGAGTATTTCAGAAAATTACAATAACTATTTCAAAAACAAAAGCATTTGAAGAAATGATCAATTGTTTTAGAATGAATAAAATAATACTAAATTCTTAAAACATACAATAAGTTGTACGAAGGTTTTCTTTTTATATTGAAGAAAATTTATAAACTTTTATCAATGAAAAACAAACTAATTTAGAGCTTAGTAGTTTTTTTTTTTTTTGAATGAAAAATGTTTACCCGAAACCACCAATACCAATTAAATTTCCAATTTGTAAATCTTTTTCTTCAATAACACGTAAATTTGGTTCAAAATTACCAACAAAATTAGCTGGAAATATACCAACAGATTCAGAATCAATAAGTCTACCAGTCCACCATCCTTCTGAACCTGAGATTTTTTCATCTTTTGATAAAACTTCTACAATACTTCCACGTCTTAAAAAAAAAAAACAAAATAAAACATTTATTTTTAATTGTTGTTTATTTTATTTTTTGTTTCATACTTTAATGTTAATTCATCATCTTCTTTGCCTGTATAATCATAAATAACATGTAAAATCTCATCATTTTTATTAATTAAAGATGATGAATTGGTCATGATCAATGATGTATTTGTTAAGCACATATGTTATATGAAAGAAATCAATAAAAGATTTCTTTTTAAAAATTATAAACATTTTATATTTAACATTAGATTTATTTACAATTTGATCGAAAGAATAATCTATTTTATTTTTTCGAATGTGTGATTTATTTACGACATGACACAAACAGTTTTTTTATCCCATTGGATGTATAATTATCATCTAATAATTAGCGACATCTTAATTAAGAAAAAAAAAAACAATATGACATTGATTTTTTTTTTTAAAAATATATATATATATTTAATTAAATAATTTTTTAAAATTTAAAATAAAAAATTAATATTAATTCAAAATTTTATTCTTAAATTTACAATGAATAGATATTTATGAACGTTTTTGACTATTATACAAAAAGTTTTTCCGTCCAATTTGATCGGATCATTTCTTTTCTTTTAAATCAACATGATGAGTATCGGAAAACGTAAATATTTGTCTATACATGATCCATTATCATTATCACCAACAAAAAAACGTTTTTTACAATTTATGTAAGTTTAAACACAAGTAGTAGAAAAAAACTGAACGAGTTTTGTTCAACCAATAAAAATCATTTCTTTTTTTTTCTAGACCATTTAATCTAAAACCAACATTAGTTCGATCTGATATTTGTTATCTTAGTCAAATACCAACTGAAATACGTGATTTAATATTATTAAAATTATCACGTTTGTTTTTTCTTAATAGTAGATAAAACTATGTATTTATTTTTTTAATTTTATTTATTGTTTAGCACATGAACTTCATCAATTAGCTAGTACGAGTAATGAATATTTTTCTATTGTATTAAATTTTCTACGATCATCAATGGGTACTCAATATTTTAAATTAATATTGAAAACAACACCTGATCGTCGTCGATCAGGAGCTTGGGAAAATCTTGGTAAATAATAAATA